AACACACGAACACCCCAAGGAGTTAGTATAGATAGGAAGTACCCCTCACCCCGCATCAACATCCTACCTAGGGACCCATCATCTACCTACCTCTACCTACTCGGCCTTGCTTGACTTGTCTTGTCTTGGCTTGTCTTTCATGCATGAGCGGGACCAGACGGTACCGATTTGGGATTCTGGGTCGGTAGGTAGGTATCCTTGGAAGGCATGCTGCATGGACTGGCTGTCTATATCTGGTGGCTAGCTAGGTAGGTACATCTAGCTGGCCGTCTTTATGTGACTGGCTGGCTGGCTAGCTACATCTGGGGAACGAACTGAACTGACATGACACGACATGCCATGACATGACATGTCACTTACTGACTGGGCATCCGGGGGGATGATGGCGCATGACTCACAGAGCATCATGGGAGGGAATGATGGGATAATAATGGGGCATCACTCACAAATCATCACTTACAAAGCATCACTCACGGGATATCACTCACAGGGAAGGAACTAATGAGGGGAGAATGGAGTTTTTTGCTATCAACTCACACTTCCAACACGGAGTTTGAACGGGGTTTGAACACAACACAACACGACACACGGGGCATCACGGGGAATAATGGAGGAATGATGGAGGAACCAGAACGGAGTAGGTAGATTTTGCTTATTCGCGGTTTCAGAACAGGACAGGCTGGATCTTGGTTTCGGTTTATGGTATGGGTACGGACGGGGTTTGATTGATTGAGCGCATGGGACTTGAGACTTGAGACTTGACTTGCTCAAGAGGGTGGGTTTTCACTAGAATGGAATCGAGAATGGGAATGGGAATGGGGATGAGAATCGAAAGGGGATGCAAAGGGATTGGGAACGGTAGCCGAAGGGGAATCGAAAGGGGAAGAGAACAACGGATGGGGGGTTTGCGATCACCAGGTAAGGGAATTTGCGAGTGATACAATACCTACATCGCTCCATGACACATGGCTAGATTGCTTCACACAGCTCTCAAACTCTTACTCTTTTCTTAATGCAGAGAGAGCTTTACACAGACATAATACCATAGAGAGGAACAAAAACTAGTGCCGAGTCCCATTTTTTCAAAGTGACATGTCCGAATCTCCCAACCTGATTTCAACCACCCAGAGACCCAGCAGTACTCGTCAAGACATGCTTCACCTGCCTCGCTCGCTTCTTTTCTTTCCCTTGCTGAACCCAGACAAGTAACCGGTAGCCATCAGCCAATCAATACCGATTCAACAACCCCCAAACACAAGTCCCCTCCCCAATCCCCCGTCCATCAAACATCCACAACGCCTCATTTTGACTTTGACTTTGACTCTGGACCTGTCTCTCGCCAATGTTCTCATCATCCTGATCAACTCCCATCAACCCGGGCATGTCACCATCACTCATCGCATCTCTCGCGCCCAAGTCTATGTCCATGTCTATGTGACTCTGGATCTCTGTCACCAGCCCATTCCCTAAGCCGACTCCTCCCAACCCATTCTCATAACCACCACCATCACCACTCTGTACCAAGTCATTACTGCCATCATGAACGACAGGATCAAATTCGTCGTACACAAACCCCGTCAGGTCATTATAGACCAGGTCTCCCGTCGCATATATCGGGGAGATGTCAGTCCAGTTGAAGTCGTCAGGGAGAGACGGGAGGGATATGGAGGGAATAGTGGAAGCGGCGGCGGCCCAATCTGCGACTCCTGGGGACAGGACTGGATTGAGACTCGGGTCGATGGGGATGGTCTCGGATGAGGTATGATTAAATGGAAAGGTAGTAGAGGTATGAAAGGCGTTGGTGATGGCGGTGTTGATCTCGGATGTTGCTGCACCGAAGTGCCCTTGTGCGAGAGAAGGAGGCGCGGTAGATTCTGGAGTCGTTAATCCTGTGGTTGTTGTCGAGGTACCGGTGGCAGGTGTGGTGGTTGAGCCACCCGCTCTAGAAGCGATACCAGATGGTACTGACGTTGATAAGGAAGCCGTCGAGATCCCATTTTGAACCGTGGACGTGGTAACAGACTTGACAACCCTCTGCCTCGCCAGTCTTTTCCTTCTTCCACCAACGGCAACAGCGGCAGGCTTGACAACCGCTGCTGTACCTTCTGATACCAGACCAACCCCCACGCCTTTCTGCCCCAGATCAACACCCACCGCGCGCCCCAACCGTTCCCCAACCCCCCTCACCACCCCCCTCGCCTGCCTCGCCAACGGATTCCGCTCCTTCATCTCCTCAAACCGCTCCTCCGCCCACTTAAACTGCTGCACCACCTCCCCCACCATTTCCCCCGTTTCCTTCTCCTTCGGAAAAAGAATATACACAGCCCCCATCAACACAATCGCATCAAACGTGCCAAAAAACAAGGTAAACGTATTCTGCCTCATCTCCCGTCTCAAAATTTCAAAATGCGTTCGTTGCGCTCTCAGCATGGCCAAACACCCCCTTTCGACCGCTAACCGGCGAGACAAGGGGCGCGTGAAGATATACGGACGGTGCAAGGCCATGAAGTTGAAGGCGGTCAGCTGCGGCAGGAGGGCGCGGGCCCAGGGGATCCAGTAGCAATGGGGCAGCGAGTCGAAACGGGTGTCGGGGTTGTGTAAGCGGAAGTAGGAAGGGATGGAATCTTCGAGATCTACCAAGTGTTGATGGAGGAGATCGACTTTGGAGAAGGACGCTGGGCAGGGACCTTCTTTCTCTAGGGCTAGGATGGAGACGAGTTGGAGGGTGATTTTGTAGGTCCAGAGGATGCGAGTGAGGGGCGTTGGGGGGTCACTCTCTTCGGAGCGGGGAATGATGGGTGTAGGAGAGCGGCAGTTGGTCATGGTGGTGGTGGTGGTGGGAAGAGCGACGTCGATGGGTAGAATGGGCGGGTTGGTGGTTAGGTCGATGGCGGAGGGCCGGCCAAGCGTAGCACCGCAGTGGATGTCCCAGGTTACAAGAATGAGCCAGACTTTGCGGCGGCGTTGGATTTCCCATTGGTTTTGGAGGATGGCTTCGGCGGTGGCGGAAGGCGGAGGACGAGGGTCGAGAGAGGAGCGGTGGAGGCCGAGTTCTTGGGCGTCGCGGATGGCGGTGCCTATTGCGTGCCACTATGGCCATGTTAGAGACTGGTCGTTGTGAAGAGAGGGATGAATGTACTCACAGCTTCGGGAACCATTGCGACAAACTTCAGAAACGCAGCCCTCACGAACCCAGCCAGAACTGTCGTCAGTGTCATCTGCCTCTTGCCCAGCAGTGACAAAATAGCCACACCAGACTCACTGTACTCCTTCGCTAGATCCTCGAACGTCATGTTTCCAGCGTACTTGAGATTCTCAAAATCCACACCTCCTTTGACTCCCAGATTTGCCGTCCCCCTACTCCCAACTTTTCCCTTTTCACTACTACTGCCCTCCCCATCCCTACCATCCGCTACCACCTCCCGAGCCCCCTTCCCAGTCTTCTCAGGCAAAATTAACATGACTATACTCATCACTTGGAACAACAACGCCGGAAACACCCTCAAGTCCGGCGGTATTGCCCCCGGGCCCCCATTATTGAACACATTAAACGGGATTTTATACCACTCCTCTAGCTGAGCATCGAATATGTCTCGATCCAGCATGGAGTACTGCCAGTTGAAGTCCCGAAAGTAAACATCGACCAGTCTCTCGATGTATATCCTCGCCGGTAGCTGACGGATCAGAGACTTGTAGCGGTTGACAATGTCAGTTGGCGATGTTGATGCTCGGCCATCCGCGTTGGACAGAGGGAGTGTGGAGGATGGGTGAGGTAATGAGGATGACTCGGAGTGATTCTCGATCTTGTGAATGAAACTGAGGGTGGAGGTCGAAGCGCCGGTGGTCGAGTAGCCGAGGTTGGCGACGTTGGCAACGTTGGAGGGGATGTGTTGGTGGTCATTGTTGTCATCGGTGGAGGATTCTCCTGACCAGTGTCCCTCCGTGATGCTACCCTTGTACTCATCGAGCCCGGCTCCGGGAGTCACTGTTTCAGTCTCATTGGAGCTGGTCCGTTGTGCTCGCTTTGGCTGCTGCTGATGCCGTTGTGTTTCTTTGGCGGTGGGAGCTCCAGACTCATACTGGCAATCATCTTGTCTGTGGCGGGAGATGCAGTTTGTACAAGGGAGTTTGCGGTCACACTATGGATATGTGGCGGGCGTTAAGAGATGTTTGACAACGAACTTTAGCCAGGGTCAACTCACCTTCTGTTTCCTCCGGTGACACTCTGTGCAAGAAATGACTATCCTCCTTCTTTTCCGTGGTGGAGGCCTGTCAGAGACAGCGCCGGTATGGTGACTTGACCCATTGTGATTGACATTGATGTCAAAGTTGGAGCCTTCCTCGAGGCTCAAGGCAGTCATTTTCCTGATTTTGTAAAGTGTGTTCCTCTTTCATTGATTTTTTGGTCTCTAGCTCTGGTGGACACTTGTGGGATTAGCACACGTATCGCGAATGTATCTTTCTTTTCCTTTTTCAAAGATCACAATTAGCCACTTTGACGATCACACCCTCAACGTCGAAAGGACTTTCTGCTTGTCATGAACTCGAGCTGTCAGACAATGGAGGGCTCACGGCAGGCAGACACCTTGATCCTCATCGTTTGTAAGCATGAGGAATCAGAAGCGAGGAAGGGAAAGTGGGGGGCTAATCAAACGTGCTGTTGATGTGAGGCGGGAAGGAACCTCACTGGAGTATGTATTGGGGGCGGGGGAAAGGTACGATCGTCCCTCTGAATGGCTTCAATTCTGGGCTGACGACCGACATCAGTAATTTCATGTCTGGAATGACGGACCCGTTCCGCGAGGCTGCTTACCTTCTTAGAGAACAAGCCTTGTGTAGAGGTAGTTCCGCTCGATGGACAGAGGATCTCTACTGCCCGCGGAAACACCGAAATGGTCAAGTTCGTCGTCCCACCATTGCCAGATGCGGAGACGTCGTCGAGGGGGAAGCGAGCCCGGGGATAAGCCAGTTAACTCCGCGACCCCGGTCTGTCTTTTCTGTGTAAAAAGATCTTCATCATTCGTCGCTTTTGGGAACTGGCTACTTATCGAATGCAACGAAAAGAGAAAACACAGGCAAATAAAGTAAAGTTCAAGACATAGTGTACAGAAAGTGACATTATGGTGGTATACACAGCAAAAAACAGCAGGCCAAAAGTGCCAAGCATCTATTATCGCCCAAACGCCGTTCGAAGCCGCCCAAATCCTTAGAGAAACCCTTGGCCCAGATAAATAACAACCTCCCTCCTTGCCCGTGCCTTACAAATGACTATGGTATGTTTTCTTCCACGATATATCCATGGCCTGCGACCTGATACAGTCCCGGCCAGCAGAATAACTGAGTGTGATTACATGATGCCACCAAGAATTATGTAGACGCTCATCCCAGTCATATGAAAACGAAATATCCTCCGCCATCCATCTCTTATTCCCCAGTCTTCTATGCCAGACGCTCCCGGCGATCCTGGTACGCCTTCCAGGCTTTCCTCCTGTAGCGCTCGGCCTCGGCCGGAGGATCCGCCGCGGTAATGATGCCACGCCCAACAATCGCGATATCGGTGCCCTTGATGTTGACAAGGTTATCGGGCGTGTTGTACTGCTGACCAAGTCCGTCGCCCTGAGGCGCTTCCTCTCCCGGTGGCGGCAACTTGCAGCCCGGTGTCATGTGGATGAAGTTGTCTGCTTGCGCTTCTTGCTCTGTCGTGCTTTCGCCGTCTTCATAGCTTGGGGCCAAAGCTTCCTTGGTAATGCCGTTCAGGTTCTGCTGCGCAACGTAGCCCATGACAAAGCCCTTGTTCTTGCGCGCCGCCTTGACACACTCCCATGTGTACTTGCCGTCCATGAGGCAGCCCTTGGACGACATCTGGGCCAAGATCAGCAGGCCGCGGTCCAGAGGCGCCTCCTCGATGCCGGGGAACACTATCTCATCGTCCTCCGAGATGGTCTTGACCAGACGTGGCGAGTCGGCCGGCTCATATGTTTGCGTGACGGTCGTGATGGAGACGATGCTACTCTTCCTCCCATCCGTGTCCTTTGTGGTGCTGGTCTCGCGGGTGACGACCTTGCGCAGCTCCTCAACCTGGTCCTCGGCTTCCTCGTCGGCGAACTGGTCCGCAACCGGGGTGCCCACCGAAACCGACGTCTTGACCTCGTAGGGGACGCGCTCCCTCCACTTTTGCGCGGCCTGGGCCATGGCGCTCACCATGGCCTCTCCGGCGTGGATGTCGGCGTTGGTGATGTGGGCCCATTCGACAATGCGCGCGGTGCCGGCCGTGTACTGCTTCTGGACGGTGCTGCCAATGTCGACGAACTTGCGGTCCTCGAAGATGAGGAAGCCGTGCTTCCGGGCAAGGGCGGCCAGCTTGGCGCCGGTGCCCGTGTGCGGGTGGTAGTCCCACCCTGTGATCAGGTCGTAGTGGGTCTTGAGGACGACAATCGAGGGGCCCACCTTGTCGGCAAGGGCGAGGAGATCCCGCGCATGCTCGACATCGGCGCTGAGGCAGAGGTTGGACTGCTTGACCTCCATCAGGCGGAAGAGGTAGCTGGTGAGGGGATGCGTCGAGCTCTCTACCCGCTCAGCAAACGACTGCTTGAGGGACCAGTGTGGCTGCGTTTCCTGACTTGTCGACATGTTGGCTGTTGTGATTTGAGTTTGTTGGATGTACAGCGGAAGGCAATCCAAGAAAGATATCGAATACACTCGAGGTAGCTATTGTAGTTGGACAAGTCGTGTGAGTGAAAAGAGCTCTCGTCAAGAGTGGAAAAGATCACTAGGTAAGGATGGAGCTAAGCTACCTAAAAAGAATTGCCGGCACGAGGTGGGATGGTGGGGTTGTTGAAGTCTAAGCTTGACTCGTGTAGTCTAAGTAGTGACTCGGCAAAGGGAGACCAAGATCGGAGTGGTCGGGGGTGTTTGTTGGATTGGATTGGGAAAGTTGAGAGAAAGAATCGAGAGGTCGAAGCAGCTGCATCGATCTACATATGTAGGTACGAGCGGGAGGAAGAACGAAGTGAAGGGATGTGTCAATGTCTGGCCCACGAAAAAGAGAAAAGACCGTCGACGGGATTGATTGGGAAGCGCCGAACTCTCGATACAGTGCCCTATCGCCGAGGACGTTGGGTGGACCCTAAAAAGTTACATGCTCTACAGTGTGGTGGGTGACGGTAAAGGAGGTAATGGCCCGGTGGGTGGTGGTATAGGTGCCGGGGGGCCCGCCAGGGGGGTGGGGGGTTCACTCAGGGTCGGTCGGGTGTGCTGTGCAGGCCACACTCTGCATTCGACCCTGCAGCCAGCGCCGGCAGGAGGAATTTTTGGGACCTCTACCCGACATAGGTGGCCCGGGCAGCCAACCACGGCTCTCCACTGGGGATCCGGATGGGGTCCCGCCTCGTTCACGGGGGGTCGGAGCCCTCGCGACTGGATAATGTGTCGACGATGTGACCCGACGGGATGCGTTGCTTGGGACCCGGGAGATGGATACCGTTGCTGTCACCAAATGGATTGCAATCTTTTTCCTCTTTTTTTTTCTTTTTTTCTTTTTCTTCTTCTACTCAGGAACAGGCAGCTGGACTAGGGACCCGGAGCGTCCCAGCGTTGCCGTCGTTGTCACCTTCATTGACCTGGTAATCAAGAGCGGCATCCTCTACCGATGGGACCGTCCTTTCGCGGCACCAAGACACTGGCAATCCTTATATTGGTTACCGTAGGAGCATATTAGTGTCAAACTGGCGACGAATGGCTCTTTGGCTCGAGTTCACAAGAGCCCCTCCAAGCCAAGCCTCCCCCCCTTGGCCCTTCAACCCCGTACCAAGACCAGGGGCGATACCGCCGTGAGGGGTTATAGTAGGCAGCTAGACCTAGACGAGAGCTTATGACGGTCTCGACCGACCCGGATCTCGGGAGATGAGCTGTCGCCCTGTCGTTGTGTCTGTCTCTCAATCAGGAAAGCATGGAATTGGGATGGACGGCACAACCAAGGCAACACCAACAGTGCGAAGTCTTCTGGTTGTTGACCATGTCTCTAGATCTGAGGATCGGCCCCAACCTTTCCCCCAAGTTCATTCATATTCCCCAGCTATCGTGCCGTAAATATATCCTTGGCAAAGACGAGATTCCCATGGAACTGCGAACCCGATGGACCCCTCCCTGATGGATTCCCTGATGGATTCCCATATGGACCCTCCAAGGACCCTTTCCGGCCCTGACTGGATTCTCAGGACCTCGAAACCGGTGCCCCGGGCCCTTGTAACCTTGCTGACTGGACGGCCCACCGAGTCGGGAGTCAAAGCACAGAGAAACGTCGTATGGGATCCAACCGAACGAGTTGAAGGTCAGCACGCAACGTTGAGATGCCAGGGAGGGTTTTCACATGTTCAATTCCGCTTTTGAGGGACTGTCACCTGACAACGGGAGACCGCATCCTCAGGCTGAAGGGGTGGTGGACAACATCATGTCACTCCGAGTCTGCACTCTAACCGACTCACATGGATGTGGGAATGTGACGACTGATTGATAATAACCTCTCTTTCTGTTGCTGAAAGCGAGACGGGAAGTTCCCAGCGAGGTCTTTGGGATCCATCCAATACGTCGAGCCAAATCACTTGATTCCACCACAAGTCCAGACCGCGAGTCCGCGGTTTCCCTGTCTCGTGTCAGTCAACTTTGGGGCTGTTCAACTTGGGCAAGAGCCAGGTACCCCCCTGACCCATCCACTTGCTCCAGCTCAGGTCCTTCCTTTGCGTCCGGTCACTGAGGACGAGACGGAGTGGGGAGTACAAAACGAATTGCCGTTGGAGATCAGTTCAGACGTTGGCCAAGCTGAACCTCAAAGCCAACCCAATAGTTTGGAGAGCATTCGGGCCGGGCCTGCACAGACCATTCGGCCGTTGCCAGCCGAGTCGTCAACAATTCCATCTGCATTTCTCGAAGCGAAGGGCACTTCAGGCTGCACCGCTGCACTGCACTGCTTGGTACCTAGACTACTATGTACATATTCCCGCCTCGCTTCGTCTTCGGGACTCGCTACTACTCACGGGCAATTACAGCAAGGATCATATTGTCGTGAACCTTGTCGCCGTCATTGGACGGGGAAAGCTCCGATCGCTGAACCCAGGCCGCGGGGAACTCGGCGACAGGTGACAGGTTACATTCCAGGAACCAACACCAACACTTTCATCGACTGTTCACATGCTAGGGTTCATTAACAGAGAAAGGAAAAAAAAAAGAATCGTATTAGAGCTCCCAAACACCAATCTCGGACATCTCAAACATTGATGGCCTCAGAAAAAGAAACAAGACAGTGACCAGGCAGACCTGTCACAGGCGGCGGGTGCCATTTCCGAGACGCCTGTTCCCGCAATCCTAACTAGTGTAGATGCCGCACTCTGATACCACGAAGAAAACACCAACTTCCACCATTCTAAACACATACTCTAGTTTATACTGCTGCTCGCCAGCGTGTTCCTTTATCCTTCCCTTCCTTTGTTGTATCCTTCAACCCTGAACAATACGAGCCCTGACTATTGCAGTTAGGTTGTGATACAACTTGCATCTCGGTGGAGCCCAATGACAGGCTACCGACGACAAAAAGAGGTTGGCGGCCTCGAAAGCTTGTACGCATCCCAGTTTCGCAGAGTCGCATCGGATCTTCGATCTTCCTTCGCGGAAGACGGAAGATGGAAAGCGGAAGTTAGGAAAAGAACTCTGCAAGTGAAAAAGTCAGGATGCAGAAACGCGTTACGGCTAGTCTTGCATATGTACAACGCCTCACAAGTTTGTCGTCGTCAAGACATCAATTTGACCGCGCTTGCGAAAAGCCCTCTGATACGTGCAAGTGCGAGCTTAAAGTTGTGTTCCATGTCACGTCGCCGTTGACATTCACATCTCAATCTCGCGCTTATAATTTCGGATCACCACATCAAGTTACCCGGACCGGACCGTTGGGATTTCTATCCTCGTCCTTCGTGCTATTGATACAGTGCCATATGCTCTCCAATGCAGTGTTAAACAGCATGCCTGTTCTCGGGATTCACCTGTCAAGCTTTTCAGCCTACCTGCGCCAACGGGTGCTCGCCTCGCCTCGCATATCAGAGAGCAACACCCGCTGCTGCTGCTTCTTCTGCTTCTCATCGTGCATTGCGGCCAAGGTAATGCATCGCATCGCAAGGCAGCAAGGCGTACGGTACAGTATATCCCCGTTTTCTAGGCAGTCTAACGAAATCTCTCACAACTGCCAACAACCACGCCCTACTCTAGTGCGCTTATTTTTTTCCCCATCCCTCTTTCGGAATAAGCACCCTCCATACACGGCATGATCGGCGTCCCGAGAATTGGTTACGGGAATTAGTAGGGCTAGAGATGCGTTGTTCGAGAACAAAAAGGGTGCAAAGATCTTCGTGCTTCGTTGGCACTTGGAAGAAAAAAAAAAAATTCCCTCGGCTAGCGATGCAGGAAGAATCGAAGCGAGAAACAAGGCAATAACCGAAAGACAACCGATACGCCGACAACAGCATTCACGAGGAGGAAAAAAAAAAAAAAAAGGAACGAGAAAAGATTGGTCGTCGATTGTGCATAGCCTCTGCCAACTGAACGTGATCAAAGGAGAAACTGCACCATTTGCACCAACCCAAGAATGAAAGCCAAGAGAGAACTCCTGGCCTGTCGAAAATCGGGAACTCATGGGAAGGGAGATGCGCAAAAAAAGAAACCGATAAGAAAAAAATGCCGCTTCCGAGCCCCCCAAAGTCCAGATATCAGGCGAAGCACCGATGCTGTGGGATTCCCAAATTCCCAGTACATAACATCCTACACGTGTACGTGTACAGTATAAAAAAGTTTAACGCCGGTCGGTTGTCCCCATTCTCGAACAGAGCGCGATGTGTACTTAGCGGCTACTACACTACCTACTGTGCATACACTAGTAATTCAGGACCAAGAATACAGTAGGAGCACCATAACGGATACGGGCCTTTCGGCGACGATCCCGATACTGATCACACCTTTCTTCTGGTATGCACCACCAAAGAAAAAAAAAAAAAAGTTTAAAGGAAGTTCCGGCAAACTTTCACTGGTAGAGGTACTGTACCTGGACGGAGCTAAGCTTCCGGGAATTAGTGTAGACTAATCCACGACCAACAACAACCAACAACAACAACAATTGACAACGTAAGAAGACTGGAGTGTTTGATTGTTTTCTTCGGGAAGTACATTCATTCATTCATTCGGGAAGTCCCTCCCGACTCCGACTTTGGAGGTTGTTAGTGGCAATAAAATGGTTTTCCGATTCCTGGCTGCTCTGTCACTTGATCGAGGTCCAAAAGGAAAAGATAAGGTTTGAGGCCGAATCCCATGATCCCGTCCGTCTTTGTACATTCCATACTTAAAACTACCGAATCCACGAAACTCCACACACTGTCAATATCCACTACATTATAGCAAAAGTTCCACAGTAGTATGTACACCACAGTCTACCACAGTCCAGTCCACTGCCCCCAATCTTGAGGGATGGAGTCCGCCGCCAATTCGCGAAAGCGGCGGCAGTTACGACGACTTTGTGAGCGACTTCGACTTGAGACGGGAGTTCCTCATCCACATCCCCTGGCCGAGTTGCGGGCTGTGTGGTAGGTAGGTAGGTCACGAGGTTGAGGATGCGTTTGATGGTACGGTTCGTTCGTTTTGGTGGTTTGTCTAGATGTCTAGAGTAGAGAGTCTAGTGTGTGGTGGCGTGTGAAGGCTGCTGCTATGGATAATATGATATGCCATCAGTATAGTAGTATAGTGCTCCCGGACTGCTCGCTAACACTATGCTTCTCCATGTCTAAGTGCACCGAAGACACGAGAGAGTTGTACAATTGCTCAAGGTGATAGCAATAGCTGGATATGGGGTAGTGGATTGGATTGCTTAATGGACTAGTAACTATTCCAAGTGCTTGGCAGCTTCGATCGAGGCTGTTCTTTGGAGCTTGGCTTTTGCTCATCTGATAAGCTGTGGACACTACAGTACATAGACATGACATATTGGGTAAGACATATCATATCACGAAACATGAAGTGATTGAAACTTCCCAATTGCCTACCTCAACCTACGTGTAGTGTAGGCTTCACCTGAAGAATAATATATTCTGCCGTCTCCCACAGTCTCACCTACGTAGTGTCGTGTAGTGTACCCAAATGATGAACCACCTACCGACATCATCTACTATGTATATTATATGATCGACCAATTTCATAACAGATTATCTGGAACCAAAGCTCAATTAATGGTACACACTGTGCACAGTTCAAGATTACTGACGATATATTTCGTCCCGCCGTCTGTCTGTCCCCCGCATTCGGGCCTTTGTCAGCACCAAATAAGTGATTCTTCGTCTCCATCGAGTGTGTTTTATTTTCGATTCGCCAAGTTGTCCAGACCACATCGGTGTTCTCTAGTGTACCATGGTGAGATGGATAAGTAAAACCCGTGGGCCAGGTCGCTGACGATCGCTTGACTAGGCACACAGTGCCCTTTGCAAAGCCACGAAGCTTTGCCTGTAATGGCTCCGTCGTGCTCTTGCTCTTGTATGCTCCGCTCCGACACGGTTCGGGACCAAACATCGAAAATGGAGGACGGAAGACAGTCGGGACACCAGATCTCGCAGTTGGTAAATCTTGCGAGTCTCTCTCCATCAAAATGAAGGAACTGATCCATAACGTGCCTTTGCCAGCCATACCCTGCCTGACAGCCTCGGGGACAACTGGTCCAATGGCAAAACGAACATCACATCAGGGTCCTATTTGAGTGAATGGACGACAAAGCACCTACCACCCGCCCAAAATGAACTGTAGGGCGCTAAGCGAAACTCTCTCTGCTGTCGTCCTCAGTTTGGCGAATCCTCAGCTGTCATCGCGCCCGTTTTACACTCATGTTTATTGGCGGCAAGGTTTGCTTCAGGTTTCGATTGGAGGTTTGGAGTGAAGCTGCGATGAAAGATGCTTGGCTGAATGGAGAGATGATGCCTGCCCACTCACTGCATTTCTACCGCAACGGTGATTCGTGAATGTGTCAAGCAAGAGTGGAGCTTGCAGCTGCAAGACAGCTCCACACCTGTTTCGAGCATTGATGCACCTGCCTTACACCTGCCATACAACTTCTCCTCTGCCTGTCGCAACTGCCTAAAATGTCGATGGACATACCCCGAAGTTTGTGTCGTCGGAGGCGCGTGGGGCAGACGGGTAGCCATCCGCACACAGATGAGATCCAACTAAAAAATGCCCTGACGACGGCGGGGGTGGGCTTGCGAATGGTACGGGCCCGGCCTCGCCATCATAGGTGGTGAATGAATGCCCCAGGCCCACAGGCTGACAGGGCAGGGCAGCGAGCACCTGTCAAGGGAATCTCCAATGCACCATCATCACCACACCAACCGGCCAAACTAGGTACGTTAGTAGCATTGGATCACAAGTGAAGTGAATGAAAGTTTGGTCCTTTTATTAAATGACGGCCGTCCAGCTTCTGCCCCAGGCAGCTTCATCGAACGTAGACGACCAACCGTCTTCCTCCGTCAAGACAAGAAGAGGTCGGGTTTTGCAGTGCCACCTCCGAGGCCCAGAAGGAGGGGTAGCGCAAAAACATTGATACCACATACGATCGCACTTTCAACCCGAAGCTCAGAGTTACCTAATATCGAACGAACCAAGCAATCTGGTCCAGAGTACGACTCTTCGTGACCTGGCTGACGACCGATCGCAAACCTGCAATTTTTACCAGCCTCCACACAGCCTCTTTTCCCTAAAACATCAACCATTTCTGCGTCGACTTCGCCCGCCGTCGTGAATCGCGTGCTCGCGCAATAGCGAATCTATACAGTAAGGTATGGTGCTTCGAATAATCCATTTCCCATCTGTTGTCCCTACCTGCCCAGCAAGACAAACGGGTCTAACAATGCCACCAGTTCATCCAATTTTGCCTTCTGTCTCGAATCATATACCTATCCATCGCCTCCTCGTGTCCTCAGTTTGTCCAACAAACAAACCCGTCAGAATGTCTGCCATCTCGTCCCGTCTCTCGAAGCTATTTCGGCCTTCCTCCCAGCCACATTGAACACTGTCGTACACCTACAAGTTTTGAGTTCAAGCTTGTCATCCTCTGAGTCTCGAGAACATAGCTACGGAATAGACCACACTCCCGTTTCCACACAGACGTGCCTTATCCCACTGTCGACGTTAGCATCCGAGGTTCAAACGCATATCCCCAGTAGGGAAGCCCGCACACCGGCCGTCTCCAGTTCCACATTGACAAGCACAGCCCCTGTTACGGCGCTTATCCCGTGCGGGTCTCGAGTCGCTCGCAACAAAAGAATTCTTGCGGACCGGACATCGGGAGGAGCGGCCAAGTGACAGCTGCTCTACGACCGGCGTGACTACTCTGCCTGCCTAACCACTTGCTAACCTATTGGCAGAACGCCCTAAGCAGACAGCTTGAGGATAGCTCTTTCTTCTCCATCATTAAGCAAGGTTGTTTTCTTCAGCTACCATTGTTTTGACTTGTCAAGTGCCATATCGGCTACCACAGACCCGCTCCCTCCGCTGCCTGCAAAGCCTCAAGTTTAAACATCAAAATATTAAAACCCACCGGGTTAACCATCATCATGGCTGCCCCCGAAAGCGACCTTATCGCCTTCTACCAAAGGTTTCAAACCCTTAGTCTTTTTAACGACAACAGCGCGAGGCTGATAGAGGTGGGCTTCCGTTCAACAGAGTGACTGAGAGGCTGAAAGATGGACCTGTCTCAACTCATGTCCGTCTCTATTCATTAGGCTGACACGTATCTGTTCAGGACCTCCTCCTTTACTCCAAAAACGTTGAGGATGCTCTCCGCGAAGAAAACAGAGCCCTTAGGAGACAGCTTACAGATGCCCAGCTCGATCTTGAGGATGCCACTCGTTCTAGAAGAGACCTCCAGCAGCAGGTGGCGAATACCGAGTCTCGTAATAGGGACCTTGCTCAAGATAATCATCACTTGAAGGTGAGGGTCACTGGCCAGTCTGGTCGAGACAGTTATTGAAACAGAATATGCAGAACAACAATCCTTTTGTGGTCGTCCTCATAGACGGTGACTGCTGTTTGGTATGTCCACCCCTGGTCTCCTGCTTCCTCACGGCAACTGTCTAACTCTGTGTTGCAGTTTAAAGAAGCCTTAATCAGACAAGGAGTCGAAGGCGGTAAAAAGGCGGCTTATGCTTTGCGAAGCGCTATTCTTGAGCAATGCGGCGATTTTGCGGGCAATATGGAAGTCATTGCAAAAGTCTATGCCAACCTCGGTGGCTTGGCCAAAGCCATGAGACGCAACGGATGCCTGGAGGCTGAGGAAACTCTCAAGGAGTTCACCATTGGCTTTACTCAAGGAAAGGCAACCTTTGACTTTGTTGATGTTGGCCACGGAAAGGAGCGCGCGGATAACAAGATTAAAGGTAGGTTAATCTGTCCCAGTAGCACACTTGATAGATACTAACCGAAGCAGAAACGGCGAAATGGAATTTGCGCAACTACAACTGTAAGCAGCTTCTTCTCGGCATTTCGCACGATGCCGGCTATGCTCCATTCCTGGATGAGCTCTTCCAAGATGAGACCAAGAAGCGCCGCGTTACCGTCGTCGAAGGTATTCCGACTGTTCGCGAACTCGTTTCCACCGGCGTCAACATTTTGAACTTCAACGACGAGATCTTCCGATCGGAGAAGCTGGTAGACAGGACATCACTGCGCACCAACACTTCTCCCTTGATTACCACGTCATCTTCATCTACCACCACTCCTACTGTCAGCAACGGCAATCTTCCGACTCCCACCAGCTCCACCACGTCTACGCCCGCGAACGCAACTGCTAGTTATGCTGGAGCCATTGGAAACGCGAGCCCTCCGCCCAAGATCACGCTTCCTATCCAGCCTAGACCTGTGAACGCAAATGCTCGTGCCTCGGCCACCCCGAAGCAGCCGGCCTGGAACCCCGGTCCTCGTGGCTTGGACCCGCCCATCAAGGTCTCACCAGCTGCTCTGGAAAGTATCAAGAAAAGAAAGGACAACAACAAACTTTGCAACAATCATTATCTGAGGGGTCCTTGCTCAAAGGGCGACGCCTGCTGCTTCGAACACAAGTATAAGCCTAGTAAAGAAGAGATTGACGCTATTGCCTTCTTGGCCCGCTTGAACCCTTGCACCAGCGGCCAAGATTGCGATGTCGAAGATTGTATTTATGGACATCATGTAAGTTTCACTTACCATGCCTCGAGTTTTGGATATGTGCTGACCGAAATCACAGTGCCCCAACGTCAAGGACGGTGTCTGCACTCATCCTTATTGCAAATTTGAGGATGCCGATCACCCTCCCGGCACGAAGTACAGAAGCACAAAGACCTATGACTACTTCTCTTAGATAGGGAACGATGTAGCTTTAAGGGGAGCTCTGACGCGGTGTGGCTTCCTCAAAAGAGTTTGGGAAAAGAAAATTTATCTACGATGAGGCTTTCTCAGAGAAGGGAATGCGATGGCGAGCTGTCTAAGAAGGAGGCATCTGAGATGAAACGCACCAAGAAACGGATTCCACGCTCAAGGGCTTGCTGTGGCTGTCGTCTTTTGTAAACTGATCATTTCTCTAGTCTATTCAAATCAGGAGTCAGGGTTTAGGAGATAGTTTGAGTTGTTTGTTGTTGCGGATGCTAAACAGCGGAGGAACATTACGTACAAAATACAATCTAGTTTGTTTGTTAGCTTAGTACCTATTCCAAGTACACTTGGACGAGATGACTTCCGAAATGTGCCAAACCTTATAACGGCTAAATGAATGACTAGAGGTAGGTACAGATGACAGCCATCAACAAGATTTATTTTGGAAAAGGCACATTCATAAGAACGTAAAGTATCACCTGGACACAAAACGGTTGGTGAAGTTGACTCGAGGTTGGCGGTTGGTGCCGCTGGCTCGTTGCCGGCCCGGAGCCGTGTGCACGGACTCCACTTTATTTCCCCGGCCGGCTACCCCACTCAACTCAATTGAAACCACATCGACAGCTTGGACGGGCCACCCCACATTTCTCCAACAACTCACGGGGAGCTGTTGGTTCATCTGTTCAACCACCGCGACCTTCCCCTTGCCCCCCTGCCATAATTATCACAGACCTAGTCGCCTCAGCTGTATTTGCGCATTCAGAGGCTGACTTAACCAAAATAACTACCGAACAACAAAGATCAAGAGCTACAGTCTCAGTCACAGACAACCGCCAGGATGCCTTCCCACCCGCGGGTAGAAGAAGTCGAGGACAGCGACCTTGAAATGTCCGACCCCTCCGAGGGCGACATTGACGACTTTGCCGAATCCGACATTCTCGTCCAGCGCGACGCTCCTCCCGCCTACGCCTCCAAAGTCATGCCCGGGCCCTCCTTCACTCCTCTCTCCGCCGCCCACCGCGCGCAGGCCGAAAAGCAACACCAACAATTCCAAGCTGCCCAGGCCGCCCAGGCTGCCGCCGCCGCTCAACAACGACAAGTCCCTCCCCCACAATATTCCCAACAACAACAACGACAGCCAGCCTACACCCAGCCCCCCGGCTACCCCCAGATGCAAACCACCACCGACGACTCGGCCTACAAATCCTTCCAGTGCCTGTACCCATGCTACTTTGACGCCACGCGCTCGCGCGCCGAAGGCCGGCGCGTGTCCAAGGAGCTTGCTGTTCCCAACCCGCTAGCGACCGAAATCGTCAACGCCTGCGCGCAGCTCCGCCTCTCCGTCGTTCTCGAGGCAGGCAAGCTGCACCCCAAGGACTGGGCCAACCCTGGTCGCGTCAAAGTGAACCTCAAGGAATTCATCCGTCTGCATGGCGAGAATGGGAAGCTGAAGAATAAACACCACTTGTATATCCTCGTGGCGGAGCACTTGAAGAAACACCCGACGACGGACGAGAGTCCGGCGTTGAGGGTCGTGGTGAGGGGCGCGGGACCCCCGCCTAGAGAAATGTTGGAGGAAGGCAAGAAGTGGCCGAGGCCGGCGGTGCCGAGGGGGTGGAAGATGAGTGAGCTGTTGCCGTACTATAGTCCGGCGATGACGGGCGGTGGGGTCAGTGAGAATTTCTTGAAGGATATGATGAAGGAGATGGGACCTGGTGGTATGCCGGGCATGCCGGGGATGCCAGGAGGAGCGGGAGCAGGAGCGGGAGCAGGTGGGATGCCGGATATGGCGAGCTTGTTGCAGGGGATGGGAGGGATGGGAGGATTGGGTGGGTTGGCGAATATGTTGGGGGGGATGGGTGGGATGGGAGGTAGTGGTGCGACGAGTCCGGGGGCGAGTGGAAGTGAGGCGGCGGGGAAGAAGAAAGGGAAAGGAAAGAAATAGGGTGATAGGGGGTTGTGAGGGGGTGCATTGATGTGTGATGCCGGGAGAAAGAGAGGGACGGTCATGACTGAGAAAGATTCAACCTGCCAGCAAGCCTTTTTCCCGCTTTGCCGTATAACATAATGAACACAACAGCGTAGACCGCAGAAAGCAGTTTACCAAAACGATAATACCATGTACTTTTTACGAAGCCCCGTGGCCAGCTCGTCCGAAACAACATAAATGAGACCAGCTAACAGGTTAGGTAAATCAGTTCGCTACCGCTCGTCAAGAGTGTTTTTTTTTTTTTTTTTTTTTTTTTTTTTTTTTTTTTTTTTTTTTTTTTTTAAGAGAGGTAGAGGTATATGATAAGAAGGGTCATGATGCTCTTGTTACCCCAGATTTTTTAAGTTTTCGTTTTTGTTTACTCGAAACGCTCTTTCGGCTTCTGTGTTTGCAATAACTTCACAGTTACCTATTACTTTTTTTTCGTCGAACTTTAGGGCAATAGTCGAGGAGCCTAAACTACTACAACCGAACACTTCTTGCTCCTTGATATTCAAGATGGCTAATGGTAAGTTCCGCCAACAACCAAAACCTTTCCTCTTTATCCCACGTGGAGTCTAGGTACTTCCCCATCGCTAATCAACTGGGTTAGTCCTTCCCTCATGCGCCTCAGCCCATCAGAATCCTGAACCCATCAACGAATACAGCCTCTACCACGCCACTCCGCCTTCAAGAGCTGATTATCTGAAGGAATCATCTGTAGTATCCGAGACCGAGATTCACCTCAAAGACAACGCGGCGGCGATTCCCCGGACTCTTTTCCCCTCAGAAGCTGAGACCCTCTCTTACGAGCAGCAGCATAAGGTCGTCTTACAGGTAACCAAACGTGGAAGCATTGAACTCAGCATCGACCACCATGTTGTAGAGAAAGACCAACTCGAACCTATCCAAAACCAGAACCAAGACCAAAACCAAGACCAATACCAGGAGCAAGACCAAGACCATCTCACCCTCCTCACCTCCCTCAACGAACAAACCACCTCCCTACTTCAGATATACTCCCAGTCCCAATCAAAAAGCGAAAACGGAGGAGATACCAACGTCTTGGATCAAGCGCTCGTGCTAGGGCAGGTAGCTCTGGTGTTAGCTTCTTCGCTTATCGCTGTGTCCGCGACGTCTGGAGATGATAGGGTTGTGTGTCGTTTGGCTCCTCATTCCAAGGCCCGGGCAGAGGTAAAGGTAGAGGTACAGACACAGGTTCAAAGAGAGGTGGTGGTGGCATTGGCGAATATGGGACTGGCGCGTGTAAAGCAGTTTGAGAGGACGGGGGATAGGAGGGATCTGAAGAAGGCTGGGGGGATTCATGCCAGGGATGGAGGTTATGGATGAGAGGGGGGGATAAAGGGAGTTGGTAAGGGGAATTGGAAATGGGAGGTGGGTGGACAAGAAGATAAAGATGGAGAGGGGGATGGGGGTAGTGAGGTTCTGGTGCTGTTGGAAAGGCTCGGGGGGTCGCAGGGCGAGCGAGGGTTTGTCGTATAGATGTGAGTAGTTGCAAAATGATGAGACGAAGAGCAAGGCGGAGATTTTGCTGTCCTGTATACCGTTTGGATATTGGAATTGCGTTGAGATAACTGATCAAAGTAATGGGGGTAATGTGGCTTTGGAGGTTTCGGGAGTCAGGCTGGCTGGTGATGGACAGGGACGGACTGAATGATGGTTGACCAATGATTGGCTGTTGAAGCAATCTGGAAGAGAAGGAGCTGTGTCAAAAGCTCGGAGTCGTAACTGGCAAGAGCTGCCCGCCAGCTGCGGGCGAGAATCACCATTGGTCAAACACGACGAAATGCAACCACACTATCTTGTTGTGGCGCGGGTGGTTGCCTCGACTGTTCTGATTGCCATCTTCATTGGATGGATCTTTGATGGTCTGTTTCCGAGTCGTAGCCACATCTTGCCCAACCCCCCGCTCGATCCCTTCAAAACTCTCAACTCGAAGGCGACTTCTGCTGACACCCGACAACAACAATGTTCAGACGTCCCCCTCATAACTCTTCGGAAGCCGTTCTGGTAGCAAAGCTTGATTCAGTAAAACCTCTCTTGAGGTTGATCTCCTCGGAGATTCCATTGCGATAATGTCAACCGAACCAACGCCCCCAGAGGATGAATCCTCGGGGGACTCCAACACTCAGACCATTTTCGTTTCTTCAAATGACAAAGCGGTCACGAAGCTCTGCGGTATCTGCTCTAAAATCCCGGCCTGGTTCTGGACCCGTGAACTTGAGAACGACGAGGAGATTTCTGTCGAGCTACAGCCATTCAAGGAGATGCAAACTGAAGCACAAAATGGCTGCGGTCTATGCCAACTTCTGTGCTCCGAGGAATACTATAATGAATGGGGCTACGTTTTAACAAATACCCTCTTAGAGTTAGGAACAGGCAAACTGGTGAAGAACCGTAAACGTATGACGATTGTCGACTACCGGATTTGTGGCCGGTTCAACGAAACTGAAGCCTCGCTAGGTGGATTTATTCCAATTCCATCTCCATGGCGTAAGTCGCACAATCAAGCTACTGCATATTCAGGCCAATGAGTACCATGTTAACCTCCGTTGTTTGTCGCGTAGGTCCCTGCTCCCCTGCCGCAGCAGATGAGAAATCGGATCTCATACTCATTCAGGACTGGATTGCCAATTGCCAACTCCATCACACAAATTGCAGCAACGTCACCAAGGATTTCCTACCAACCAGGCTGCTGGATGTTGAGGCGTTCAGCAACGGAAGATCGCCTAAACTGGAAGACGACATAAAGCTAGTTCGCTCTGCTTCGGGCCAAATTCCAAAAGAAGGACCCGCGCCCCAATATATTACGTTGAGTCACTGCTGGGGACCGCCAGAGAGACGTCCTATTACCACGACACAGGCAAACCTCCCTGTCAGAATGGAGAGAATCTCTTTTGCTGCACTTCCTAGGACATTTCAAGATGCAGTTGTTCTAACAAGAAAGTTAGAACAACGGTATCTTTGGATTGATTCTCTGTGCATCATCCAAGACGATGAGAATGATTGGGCCCAGGAAGCTTCAACGATGGCGGATGTATATACGCAGTCTTACTGCACGCTCGCCGCTCTTAGCTCTGGGGATAGTACAGCGGGGCTGCGCAAGAAGACTCAAACGAACCCAGACATGTTAATCGATATCAGCGCGAATGATGGCCATAACGAGCCGTTTAATGGACGTCTTGTATCCAATCCGAACATTTGGGACTCCGAATATGACGGCTGGTGGGTGTCGGAACCAACAGGCACAAAGTATAGGCCGAACAATCCCCTCCGATACCGTGCGTGGGCGCTTCAGGAGAAAGAACTCTCCACCAGAGTCGTTCACTTTGGCTTTCGCCAATTGTTATGGGAGTGCGGCGAGCTCGAAGCAACTGCTCAACTGCCCTGGTATCATGCGGTGCGCAAACGCACCAGAAGACGCCCCCAAGGCTCCATCCTATCTAAACCTCTATCCTATAGGATGACTGCTAGGTGGCTGAACATATGCGAGGACTATTCTAGCCGATCCCTGACTAAGGAGACCGACAAGCTCGTTGCTCTTTCTGGCATTGCGCGATCTTACCAGAAATACTTTCCTAACGACAAGTACATGGCCGGACTTTGGAGCTCACACCTGCCGCTAGCATTGCTTTGGGAACGAACTGGTTTTCCCAAAGACAGATACACCACAGAATATATCGCCCCGAGTTGGTCCTGGACTCATCCGGCCACCAACATATCGTTTGAAAGGATTAACCTTCAAATACTGACTCGAAAGATGGGCAGAAATAAACCGGACAAGTGGTTGGACGAACTAGAGGTGGTGGGCTTCAAAGGACAGCCCAAGCACGGCGATGAGTATGGTGCTCTTGAGGAAGGTGTAGCTTTGGAGCTAAAGGGTGCTCTTCTTTTTGAAGCAGACGCGGGGCAAGTTGATACATGGGCCAGTATACATCTCTATAAGAATGGCGTGAAAGTTGGATATTGTGAACCAGATACCGTCTCTGGTCTAGTTGAGGCACAATTGGTATGCCTAGGTATTTTCTACCTTGAGTGGAGTTCAACCGTCATGGGTCTTGTTCTTAGGGAACACAATCACGATGGAAACCCGGTATATAGCAGAGTAGGATATGTGGCTAACCTGAAACCTTCACTGTGGGATGGTTCAGAACGGCGCCAGATAACTCTGATCTGAGGAGGACCGTCGGACGTATCACTCTACCATACCATATCGAGTATGTATCTATCTTCTCCTTCGTCAACATATCAGGATTATCACCATCCTCCGTCCTGAATGACGACAAGTTCTTCGGTATCAACCGTTCAAGACAATGAAGCTCTAATAAAGCCAAGAGCCGCCCGTCGAAAAACATGTCGAGTAACAACATCCGAACGACCTCTCATGAGCGAAGCCTACCTATATGAAGCTATTGAAAGCTTCAGCCGTAAGCACGAGACCTCTTTCTCTCCTTCCTCAGGCATTTCTAAACCAGGCTCATACCTTTTATTCGGCGAGGAATACCTGAACACCTTGCCAATTTGCTAATTCAACTATCAATCATGTCGTTCCGTTCGGTTCAGGTGTATGTCCAAGTGTCTCTGTTGCCATCCCGAGGTTGGCAATCCGTCATGAAGCAATGGAGATAGTACGAAGATGCAGATACCCTGGGAGTATGGAACTGTAAGACTTGCTATAGTGGCTGAAGAAAATCACGAGGAATACATGGGTAAAAAAAGGAACATTAAACGGGGCGTGAAAGGGAACCAAAGTGAAGTGAGGAAGTTGCTGTCTGCTGGTTCAGAAATACTTAGTATCCAGGATATCAGGATTGGAAAGGACAGTGGAATTGTTCATTCTTCTGGAGGGTACATTGACGTAAAATAGAGATCTTTTGTGCAGAGATTCAGCAGTGTTCTTTGCTGTGAGTGATTCGGTCGAGAAAGATGGTGGAAATAGACGAGTTTGTTGACGTAAAAAGGAGGCAGGGACTGATGGTACGTACCTCTAGAGCATTCTACATTATCCTGACACTGTGATTGGATGCAGCTACAACCATGATTGCAGAAGCTCCTATCTGACCCCGCTGCAATAGGTTCCTTGCTATCTTTGTTTGCGCTGTCACGACGCTCTACAGTGGGCTACTGACATGGTTCGTAGGGCACTAACCGCCAAAAGACAACAAATTCCAGCGCGCACTATCAAGCACAGGGTCCATCACAACGACAGGGGCAGGGGCGCATCCCGTCACGACGACAACCACACCCAGACGCCGCCGCCGACTGGGCATCGATCCACGTCCTTTCGTACAAACACCACAACACCACAACACAACAACAACAAAACAACACCTCCCCAGCAATGCGCCCCAGCGGTGCTCGCAACCCAACAACATGTCCGAGCTAGGAGTAGCAGTAGGACAAAAGATCGAACTGGCCGATGGCTCCGGGAGGACCGCCTTTGTCCGCTATGTCGGCGAGACCGCTTTCGCGCCCGGCACCTGGGTCGGCATCGAGCTCGACGAGCCCTCGGGCAAGAATGACGGCAGCGTCCAGGGCGAGCGCTACTTCAACTGCGAGATGGGCTACGGCATGTTTGTGAGGCCGACCACCTTCAATGTCATTGCCCAGCCGCCGCCGCCGCCGTCGACCTTCAGAAGATCCGTCACCACCAGGCCCACGAGTCTCAACGCTTCCACCACCCGGAGGCCCGCCCCTGTGGACTCTGGTCTTGCAAAGAGGATGAGCTTGAATGCGCCGAGCCCTAGTCCGGGTCCGCGCCCAAGTCGTACCTCGAGCACGAGCGTCACGAGGGTCAGTACAGTACTAGACAACACACAGCTTTTTCCCCGTTTGTTTGTTGCTTGGTGATCACTAGGTCACAGCTGACACGGAATTCCTCTCCAGTCTCCTACGAGGTCACCTACGAAACAGCTCGCCACAGCTTCGTCCAGCGGGAATCCTTCACGCAGCGGAACACCATCCACAACCACCAAGCCGGCCGGACCCACCACTCGAACACGTCCCTCTCTTAGTACGAGTCGACACTCGATGGGGCCACCGCCGACTCCAACTACGCGAACAACTAGGAAACCTTCCGTATCGTCTGTCGGTACCAGACCTTCGATAGGCGCCACAAGGGCGGTGGGCGGTAGGGCATCCATGTCCGCGAGGTCGTCTACAAACCGCCTCTCCGACCCCAGAGAATCGACTGGCTCGGTGTCTTCAGTAGGAAAGTCCGGTTTCAAGAGAGGTAGTGCCTCGCCTCGCAGTAGTGATGAAGACCTGTCGGCCTCTCCTGTGCCCACTAGTCCTGTGCATCAGAAGACGGCCGCTCTGGAAAAGCTCACCGCCCCAGGTGCTGGAAATGGTGGTGGCGGAGCTTCCCCCGGCGCAACTTCGCCGAACCTTAAAGCGACCACAATTACGCCAAGATCTTCCATTACGAATACTGCGACTATGAACAAGGAGATTGAAGATCTCAAGGCCAAGCTCAAGGTGTTGGAGAAGAAGCGCATGGAGGATCGCGAGAAGCTCAATAGTCTGGAAAAGGTCAAGGCGGAGCGCGACAAGTTTGAAAGAATCATCCAAACATTGCAGATCAAGTACCAGCCGCAACAGCAGGAAATCCAGGACCTGAAACGGCAACTGAAGGAAGCGGAGAACAGACTCTACAATGTCGAAGAGTTGCAGGCCGAGCATGACACAGCCATGGAGCTTGCCACGCTCGACCGTGAAATGGCCGAAGAGACAGCAGAGGTGCTCAAGGTGGAACTGGATGCCCTCAAGCAAAAGAACGAGGAGCTCGAGCTCGAAGTAGAAGTCCTCCGCGAGGAGAATTCGGAGTTCACTAATGGCATGTCACCCGAGGAACGGGCGAGCACTGGCTGGTTACAGATGGAGAGGAATAATGAGCGTTTACGCGAGGCCCTGATTCGTCTTCGTGACATCACGCAGCAACAGGAGGAGGAGCTCAAAGATCAGATCAAAAGCATGGAGGAGGATCTACGGGAGTTCGAGACCATCAAGGAGCAACACACGACGGCCAAGGAGAAGTTGGCGCAGACTGAAGCGATCGTTGAGGACCTCAGAGAGCAGCTTAATAACGCTCTTGGGGCCGAGGAGATCATCGAGTCGCTTACTGAGCAGACCATGAACCAATCCGAGGAGATCAAGGAACTCAGGGCCGTCATTGATGACCTTGAAAGTCTCAAGGAGATCAATGATGAGCTTGAGATCAACCATGTTCAGAACGAAAAGGAGATGCAGGAGGAAATCGACCTGAAGGACTCCATCATCGCCGAGCAGTTCCGCCAGGCCAATCTGCAGAGGGAGAGCTTGGAGGATATGGAGTACACGCTTTCCAGATTCAGAGAGTTGGTTACGAGCCTGCAGAGCGATTTGGAGGATATGCGTGCTTCGCATGCTGTCACCGAAAACGAGTCGGAGCAGCTCAACAGCCGCTCGCGTGCCATGTTGGATCTCAACATGAAGCTTCAGATCTCGGCTTCCAAAGCTCAAGTCAAGACTATTGATCTCGAGTTGCGGCGCATGGAGGCCCAGGAGGCTGAGCAACATCTGGAGATTGTAAAGCTGTTCTTGCCCGATACCTACCAGTCTGATCGTGACTCTGTCCTGGCTCTGCTCAGGTTCAAGCGTCTGGCTTTCAAGGCCAACCTGTTGAACGGCTTCATCAAGGAGCGCGTCAATGGCCAACCGCACCCCGGCCATGAAGAGGACATCTTTGACGGGTGTGACGCCATTGACAAGCTTACCTGGGTGTCGGCCATGTGCGACCGGTTCGTCAATGCCATTAGCCACTGCTCCCTAGAGCAATTTTCCAGGTATGAAGGTGCCTTGTACGAGCTGGAGCCCGTCGAGCGTGCCCTCAACGGCTGGATTGACGGCTTGAGGCGTGATGACCTCAAGGAGAAGCAATGCGCGGACGAGCTGAAGCGCACGATCGCTCTCATGACGCATCTCGGCGAGGTGCACATCTCTAATGACCTTGAGAGCTTCGCCGATGATGTTCACATGAAGGCTTTGCTCATGCAGAGCCATCTCGAGTCTGCCGCTATCTCGGTCAACTCGCTTAAGGCCATGGTGCAGCGTGTCATCCCTCCCAGCGGTGAAGATGACGAGCTCGCTCAGTACTTCTCCAAGCGTGCCGAAGCTGTTGTCTCCCAGACACGCAGCGCAAAGGTGATTGCCGGCAAGACCGTCCGCGCGCTCGAAGACCTCAAGACGCGTTCCCTTTCCCTTACCCCGGATACCCTCGAAGCCTTTGAGCAGTCCGAAACTGCCACGCGCGACCTTGCCAATATGGCTCGCCAGATCGGCCTCGACCTGCACGCCTTCCTCCACGAAGAAGGCCGTACCGAGCCCTACAACTACATGGAAGTGCAATCTTGCATCCAGCGCTCGGCACAAGCCTCTTCCCCCACGGCTTCCTCGCCCGAGTCCGACCTCTTCAACACCTACCTCTCCTACCTGCGCAATGCCACCTCCACCATTTCTGACCTTGCCTCCTTGGCCTCCGACCTCGCCCAGACGCAGGAATTCGACCGCACACCGGCGCCCTGGATCCTGCGCTCTGCCGAGCTCAAGGCTGCCAAGACGGTTGCTCCCGATATCGACGACGAACTGCGTCGCTTGCGGGACGACATCGCGGAGGCGCGCCGCTCCATCGCGGTGCGCGAGGAGATGCTTTCCACAGCACAAGTCAAGATTGAGACGCTCGAGTCTCGTATGCGCGACGCCAACGCCAAGGCCGCGCGCATCGTCGATCTCGAAGCCGACTTGCAAGCCGCCAAGAAGGAGGCCGCCCAACTGCAGGAGGACATGGAGAAGCAAGATCGCGAGCTCAAAGCCTTGGAGAGCGACAGAGACAAGTGGAAGAAGATTGCTTCCGAGTCGCGCGTCGTCGTGGCCGATGGTTCCGGCGTTGGCGTCGACAACAAGGCCAGTGCTGAGCGTGCTGTGGCCACCGCCCGCGAGATGGACGCTCTCAAGAAAGAAATCGAAGCACTGCAGGCCGCTGTCCGGTACCTCCGTGAAGACTCGCGTAGGGCAAGACTCAAGGAGCAGGGCGACTACGAATGGCTTGCCGAGCCGCTGGTCAAGAAGAAGCCATCGGTGCAGGAGCAGCGGAAGCAGCTCGTCAAGAAGGAAGGAAAGGCCGTGCTTGGGGAGTTGGTTAAGCTTGTTAGCGGCGCCAAGGTGTTTGATTTGGGTAGTCTGCCGGAGAAGGCGGAGGATAGACTCAAGTGGAGGCCGGCGAAGACGACGCCCGGGTGGTGGGTGGCGAAGCAGATGGAGGATTGGGAGGCGTTGAAGGAGTGGGAGGGGAGTGTGAAGGGACGGGTTAGGGAGTTGGGCGGTGTACCGGGAAGTAAGAAGGCGCAGAGAGAGGAGGAGGCCAA